GGTAAGAAGGGTAGACCAGAAACTTGTTTCTTGGCAGCTGTTGGAGAATGGTAGCGTTTGCTTAAGGGAAGAGGACTGGGGTGACCTTCCCAGTGTAGGAACCGCTTCTGTACAAGTGCTGCATTTCCAAGCATATATTGAGGTCAATGAATATATCATACAATTATGTCCACTGATACTCTGAATGTAAGATGCAGTTCAAATAGGTGGAGATTCAGTGTCAGACTCTGGCTTAGAATCAAAACCAGCAGCACTGGTAAAGTCACTATGACAGCATGCAACCATTTGCTATGACAAAAGATATGAGCCATGCAGCAAGTACATGGGCAGTCTCTACTGTGCTTCTCCACAATAAGCAGAGTATACTAATGCAAAATCCAGCAGTTCTTCTAAGGTTTTTTTTTTCTCAGAATCTCTCCTCCCCATTTTGAAATTCAGTGTTTGCTTGGAAACACCCGAGGCATTTTAATAGTACTTTTCTGCAAATGGAGATAGATGAGACAGGGAAAAAAGAAAGTGGAAACCACACAAACGAGGTAGTTGTGAAACAAACTACTCACCTGGGAGATCTGCTGAATACTTTCTTTAGCCTCTCAGCCAAATCTCTGCAGGAGAATGTTGAAAGCTGGTACAGTTAACTAGGTATTCACAGATAGGACAATCATGGAGATAAGGTGCCAAGCTGAGAGTCAGAAGATTTTGTTGTAAATAACCACTTACATAGCGGTGGGCAAGTCACTTCACTGCATGGTAGTTTTACCCATCTGTAAAACAGGGATGATAACATTGACTTTTGTTCATGAAACAGAACCTAAAAGAACAAAAAAATGCTATACAAGCCTAATTCAGATTCTGCTAGCAGGGACAGAAAGACTCATGTGAATTTGGTAGGCCAGAATCAAGCCTTAGAAGTTTTAAGCACATAGAAGTAGTTGTTATCAGTATAACTACACTGGTAGTCACTAGACAGTAATGGTTTCAGTAGATTTGTTTTATCTGGAGCTCTCTCAAAACCAAGGTCAATCTTGGAAAAAGCAAACATGGAAATTGAAACTTGAGAAATCAACCTAATGTAACATAATTTCATTCCATCTTTAGACCTCATTCCTGAAATTGTTCAGCATGTAGATCTGCTATGAAAACAGTGGGAACTTCTAACTGTGGGCTGATGACATCAGTGATGTTTTCTTTGTTCCCATAACAGACTAATCACATATTAAATATGTGATTGTCAAGTCCTACCTTCAGAGAATTAGGTGCTGCAGACAGTGGTTTGGAACACAACTACTCTACTTAACACTTACTTATATACACCAGCAAGAGATGCAGTCTTCTGTGCTGGTAATTTCTCTGCTTCCCAAATATTTAGCAAAATTGTCATTGTGGATTAGCATTGCTATTCAGAATATGATCCCTAAGGCGTGGCCCATGCATGGAATATTAAAGTGACATTAGTAGAACAATTCAGTGATTTGTCCATGTCTCCAGCTATTCTGTTCTCTTCCTATTGAATAGAAATAAAGCAACAAGGTTGTGGATTTTCAACAACAAGTATAGAGAAGAATTCATCAGTGCTAAGGGACCCTGAAGAGGCTGGAAGAGCAAGTTCCAACTCAAGTTGCTAGGGATGTATAATGCAGTTTAAGAAATTAATTCCAAGAAGGTCAGTTTTCTTGTCATTCAAGCACAACAGAGCCTGCAAGCTGCTTCCAAAAGGATCAATGGCTGTTACCAGTGAGCAGCCTGACCCACAACCACTCTGCTCAGAGGTGTTTTGAGCTCCACAAATGGACCAGTGCCCCCTCCATCACTAACAGTTTAGTTTGCAAACCCAGGCTCAGGTGTAGCAGTGGGAGTCTCAGAGATTTCAATGCAGAGCTCTGCTGACAGAGCTGCCTCCCTTATTTGAGGATTAGAGCCATCAGCTTGTAGTGGTAGAGGCTTATGAAGAAGCCCAGTTCTTTGCTCATCTCTGTGAGGACAGCAGCTCTCCCCAAACACAGTTAAGTGATTTTTAAATCAACAGCTCAGTACCTGCAATGTCACGGTTACTATGGCAGCCATGCCAGGTTTTTGTGCAAAGAGTGGTATTAAATAGCAGTGAATATTATGAACAGAAAGGAATTGCAATGCAGTGCAACCTTAAAACTTTAGAATCCTATTGAAATTAGTGTCTACAAGTATTAAAATGCACCTATAGCTTTTGCCATTTTTTTAAAATGTATTGAGAGACTTAATTATTTCATTGCTCACAAAACAAAACATTATTACCTCCCTCTTTGGGGAAATAATTGGCTAATTCTGCATGGAGAAGAAAGGAGGTAGAGGTGAGATCTGCAGAAAAGACTGTTTATGTTGTGACAAACCAGTGACATCTAAATAAAAGGCATAGAATGCAATTACTGGTGCATGGATAGATACATAGTTTGTGTCATATACATCTATGTGCGTATGTGCGTGTGCGTGAGCAAAGCAACAAATATAACTTGAGAAGGCTTTTGCCTACTACTCGTCTATGTTGTCCATCTGAAACCAGAGGATCAGAATCATATCTCCAAACCCTACCTAATGTATTTTTTCTTTTGGGCTTGTTTTATTACTTGGCTTTAAAACCATTGAAAAATAAATGACAGTATCATGTAGCGTTCAGAACAAGCTAGTATGCGAATCTGGAAGAGGCACTGAAATTAAGTCTATCTGTTGAGTTTGCCTTTCCTTAAAGACTTGCAGGACCACCCATTGCCTTACAGTGTCTAGGTAATAAGCATTGTGCAACCGAGGTGTAGGATGCTGCCAATACTGCTCAGTTAACATATGTCAGCATTGGTGAAACTTCAGAAAGCACATTTTGACTGTTTTTTCCTCCCTTCAACCAAAAAAACTCATATCGAGCTGTGCCATATTTGGAGTATATTCTCAATACACTAATTTGCACTTTAAAACCCTAAAATAAATCCTACACTAAATAGCACTTTAAATTGTTTTATAAATGTCAAACAAGTCACGCAGAGAAAACATACTATTCTCAGTCTATCCTCATGGGAATGTGTGGAGCAAAATGGGCAAATCTGACAACCTATTTTCATCATTTACAGCCGAGAGTAAATTTTACTCTATGTATTTTCCAAATTCATGGCCTGCTGTAGTGTTTTCTGTATGTAGCGTCCCGTGCTGGCATTGCAACTACTGTATGTGTTTCAGAGGAGAACACCAGAAAATGGATTGCTTTTTTAAAAATCCACATTCTGCTGTCATATTTCCATATGTAACGTACGCTGTGTGTCTAAAACGTGTACATTCTGCACGACTGATACAGGAAATGCTATAACACAATCTGGGTAAATTCTGGGGAGTGGAAGAGCAGGAATTTTCCCCTCAGTAATACTGCACACAGGTATAAATCAGCACAAACAGAATATACTCAAATACTAAAACACAACTCACAGTCCACTGCCTCTCCAAAGCTCTGAGTGACAGTAGGCTTCATGACAAACAGGTCATTCATGCACCATCCGATGTCATGCAAAAACATAATCTGATTTCTAACCGCAGTCTTCTGCTCACAGGACTAGGAACCAATGCACGCCCGTTTCTGAAACTGCCCCTCTATGTGGAAGTACAGGTGGCTGCTGTTACACCTAACGCGATCACGTTTTGTTTCTCCTCCCACTTAACAGACTTTATTTTATTTTGGTGCAGTGCACATGAACGCAGTGTCTAGGACAGATGTGCTACCTTTTATAGTGTCGCTATAGAACTCTTTAGCTGTGAACCCTTAATTTGCAGCTGGAACTCTAATAAACAGTGCATAGTGTTTCAATAGCCTTCTGCTTATATGTTTGAAGATTCGAAACTGAATGGTGAGGTGGCCAAGGCGGCGCTGGCAAACGAAGACTGTCCCCACATAGACCAGGCTATTACGCCTGATGAGGGCCTGCCCTTTACCCGCTCTGGCACTCGGGAGAGATATGGACCCTGCTTCCTCTTATCAACCGGGGAATATCCCTGCCCGCCTGATGGAGGAATAAGAAAGGGTATGTAGCTGGGGTCCTGGAACCATGTAGTTAGCAACCGTTTTAAATAAATAAGAAAAAGTCAGCTGTAGCTGTAGCACGCAATAGTGCGCTTGCTGTAGAGATGCACGTTTGGGCTGGAAACCACCACCTGATGTCTGCATTTGGAGTTTCTAACCTATTTCTTTCAGAAAGAAAAGCCTGAGGAGCTGTAACTACCCCATGCAGCTATGCTAGGCAGTCAAGTCTTCCACCCCAGCTGGTGCAGTAAGCTTTAGTGGAGGATGCTCTACAACGTCCTTAAATTAGCCCATCCTCCAAGGAGAGGCCAATTAACATTTCATAGCAATGAATGTTTGCCACTTGGAAAGCTCACAGATCTTACCAGACTTTGAGGAGCACAGACTTGGAGGTGGCAGACAGAAAAGATAAAACACAAAAGCAAAACATCCTCAATAAATACAAAATGATTATTTGGCTACCTTAACAGAGCACTAAAACAAATTATTTGGATATACATAGCTGTTTAGTTCAACAGAGAAAGAGAAGCATACAAGAACATCTGTTAGCACAGGTGTCTTACAATTGGAAAATAATCCATCTAAAATCACTTTCCTTTCATAAATAAATCATTACTAGTTAGTTTCTCAGACTTCTGACAGCTACAGATCTCTCAGAAGTAACTGCATTTTAGTTTGCTAATGGTCAGAATAATCTATTTCATAACAGAAGTCAAATCAAATGAAAAAAAAACTTCCCTTCTTAAAATAGGCTGTTTTGTTTAAATAATATAACATGAGGAAACCATACAAACGAAAATTAGTTACATATATATGCATCAAAGTTGATAAGGAATGGAAAAATTGGAAAAGATATCTCTCTCTTCAAAATCAGTGTTTATCACTGGTGTACTGTATATAGTATATGATATAGTCAATATTTTAAAACTGCAAAGATTGTATGATGTAACCATACACTGAGTATGGAGTATAGAATTCCCATGTGCCATTGTATGATGGGCAATAGTTATAGTAAATGCCAGTTATAGATAGTGTACGTATTTATAAGTTTAAAGCTTATCATCAACAAAGATATAGTTGGACCACAAGACTTTCATATGAAAGTATATCCTCTAAAATTTACCTTTGTAGCAAAGCGTTTTACTTGATTCTGTATTGGATAAGCATTGGCCGTGTTCATTCAGCCTGGGCGAGTTCGGGTGGTTCCAGTGGATCAGGGGAACACTCCAAATGGCACATCCTTTGGGATGAGGAATGTATGGTTTTCACGATGCACTGCAACCGCCTCTCGTTACTGAATGAAACAGAGGCTGGTTGGCTAAAGAGTAATATATGTCAGCATATTGTTGGCCTGTTTGAAACACGTTGAGAGCATCTTAATTGTTGTTCCAACAGAATTTCATCCATAGTTTGTGCAACTCTCTGTACACTTGCTGAGCTGTTTACGTGCATGTCTGAAAAAGAAGGGGGGAGGGAGGGAGGGAAACCAAATGCATGCAATTTTGTTTTCTTTCTTTTTTTTTTTTTTAATGCTGAGAACAAAGGAGTAGTATCTCTATAGCAACACAATAAATTTCATGAATTTTGCTGCCTTTTCCCCCTCCTGCCCCCAAAGATACCAGAAACCTTAATTTTGCCTGAGGTCAAAATGCATGAAGTGGAAGGGAGAGGTATGCGTGAGTGTATGATGGAGACATAGAAAATCCCTCCCACTGACTCTTCTTTTTTTTAGGGTACAACCATGTTGCTGCCTGTAGGATCAATTACATAGCCTGACCACCTTTGAGAAATGATGATTTTTTTTTTTTAATATATGTATATATATTTTTTTTTTTAAAACTTGTTCTGCACTTCAAAGGCCTTCTGAGTTATGTTGCAAGTGATACTACTCTCGGCATGTCTGTGCATGCAGATGCTATTGAACTGGCTACAATGTTGACCTCATTCTTAGTCCATTCTGTCATTGATCCAATGCTGTACTTTGCATTTTTCTTTTAAATGAAGGTTACGAAATGTCACGGAGCCTTAACAGCATAGCTGGCATAAGTGGAAAAGCGATAGGATTATCCTCAGTGTCTGCGCCCTACAGCTCTCCTAGTCCAGTGAGACGTTCTTGGTCTCCCATCCCATCTATTTTGTAGCATGGATCAGTAGCAGAGAATGGTCTAAAAAGCTTTATTTTCAATTAGCCTATGCTATGTTGCATATAATCCAGGTGACTAAGTCTGAAGATGCAATGTCTCACAGTAGCACCTGCTGGGAATGGTGTTACTACTGATGCTAGGTGACAACACTCCTAAATAGCACTCAGATGACAATAGGCAGGCATTTACGTAGTACTGGTGGGCCATACGTGCTGCATGGTATCAGTACATAGGATGAAGGGTAGATGCACCAGATAGTTTCCTTCCTGGTGCATCCTGCTAGTATATGCTTATTTTGGCTAATGGTGGATCTACTGGCTCTGTATGGAATGGGTTAGGCATTTAGTCGATGCTGAAACATGCCAACGACGGAAGATTTTGCTTTTCTCAGGATATTTTTGAGCCATAGGAACCCTGCAGGAGTTTGAGCAAACAAGCACAGTAGGATGAAACTTTGCATGGGCGCCTATTTTAAGCTGAAAGCAATACTCAGACACACTGTAGAGAGGTCTCAGTCTGGCTGACTGCATGGAAAAAAAAAAATCCTGTTGAAGAAGAATATGGCTGCCTCTGCATGTAGCTATTTCACCTTTTCCTCCTTCCTTTAAAACTAAGATGCCAAGCTTGATGTGAAAAGCGCAGGGAAGAAGCTCAAGTACTGATTGTATTCTTTACATGCAGATCTTTGCAAAGAAAGTCCAGTCATTGCTAAATATATGCCAACAGAGGCAGTCAGAGTGACCTGACAAGGAGAGATGGAGATGAACATTGATGGCTAATAAACATCTGTATGGAACTGTGCAGGCATAGAAGACCTTCTCATTTGGACAAAGTTAACTCGCTCCATGCAGGTTTTATGGATGATTCTTCGTGGTTTTGGAGTTGTACTAGAGATGCAGGCTTTTTCTACGGCCAAAATGTAACAAAACTGTAGAAGATCATTTTTTTTTTTAATCTATTTTTTTGTTCCATAGCATGAATTGCATGAAGACAAAAATTTAAAAAAAAAAAAAAAAAAAAACAAAAAACAAGAAACACTGCAAATGTATGATTAAGGAGAAAAAAAAAGCAAAGTTATATATTTTCTTTCAAAGCTCTTTACTTTTACATACATTGTTGTAGCCAAAATGTAAAACATTATAAAACTGTACATTTCTTTGCTATGGATCGCTTCTTTTTGTATACAAGATACAGAGTAATGGTTTTAAAAAGTGCAATCAGGCAGTCATCGGTCATATTGACCACGCCTTCACAGTTCATCACACCGACATGGAAATCAAGAACTTTTAATCCAACTACAAGTGTATAAAAATAAGAAAAACTTTTTCCTGTCTGTTTTTGTTGGCATGCTTGTGACACATGGGACCTTCCTTTGGACCTGACAGTAACAGCTGGTCTACATTTAATTTTCCAGCTCTGGTTATGTTGTATTTTATTGATGTATAGATCCAACGTAAAGACCCTTCATAAATTGTTCATATTAAGTAATCAGTATGAATTTTAAACAAAAGAGGTGTTATTTTAAAACTGGGACTTATAGTACAAAATCAGGAAAATACTCAAGTATAAATGGTCTCAAAGTTTAAAAAACAAGACAACAGCATTGTATGCAATTTAGTACTGAGTAAAATGCATGCACAATGTTATGCAAAACAATTCTAGCATGAAATAAATTTTGTATCATGGTTTCAGTGCCTGCTGTATAGTGTAAAGGGGAATCCTTTTCTGAAGCGACCAGGGGTTTCCAGAGACTTGCTTCTAAAATCTTGAATAAATACAGTGTTCTCAACAGAAATGTAGGAGAAAAGCTTGGTATTGCTTTGGTTCTACAATGCTAATTTTGGTTAGTAGATAATAAATGAAGCCTGCAAACACTTGATACAACCAATGTCTGAAGAATTCACACCATTAGTAACTTTACGACGGAAGATTAAAAAACCCTATAATTATCTAGGTATCTTCCTTTTCCCTCCTCAACAATAATAAAAGTTTGTCTTTTTAGCTGATTAAATGAATTCAGTTTTTCTTACTTCTTTGGGCCCCGTCCTTCACTTGTTCTTCACTGAGCCACAGCAGTCCACCTGATACGAAACTCTGGAAGAAATCCAGGTGTCTGAGTTGCACTTTATTTGCCACACAAAACATGCAGCAGTAAGAACCGAGAAATGCAATGGGATTAAATTTCACTTTAGATGCTACAAATGACAACTACGGACTATGTGTCAACAACATTCTAGTTGCATGAGCATTTTTGGTAAAGTACTTCTATAAGGAAGGATACACCTTTATCCTCGTGTGAGGAACTTCAAAGGAGCTGGCAACCTTCTAGGCAAGCGATGGCATCTGAGACTGCTGATGAGAACGGAAATGTAAAGGAATAGTATCCCTATGGTCTGGAGGAAGTAGAGATAAAACCCCCCAAAACCAGAAGAAACACTTATGGCTCTGGTAAGTGCTAATTTCTAAACAAAAAACCCAGAACTGCAGCTGAACCTTGTCTTCACAAAACTCCACTCCAAAAGGAAAATCAAGGAAGACCTCAAGCTATGTTTTAGGAATAGAAGAAAGGCTGATAATCTCAATTTGTACATAGTCAGAAAACTCCTTTGTAGTCCTTGATGTAGCACTATGTACTTGATTTCTACTTCAGTTGACTATTCTTTCTCCCAAGAACTATTTTTCTCCCACTGTTTTCTATGTTGTTATTCTCAGCTGATAAATGGGCAATTTCTTACCTCCAGAGGTAAGATCAGGTTAATCCAGGATCCAAAAGTTGCCTAATGAACAACTTTTCCTCTTTTAATGTATTAAAAAATCCAGAAATAGATTTATCTGCCCCATTTTTTATTTAACACTAACTCAAGGGCTCAGCATCAATGCTGCTCAAATTCTCCATTACCATAAGGAATACTAACAATTCAGCCCTGTAAATCCCACGTAGGTCTTCCCCTTCCACTGCACTTTGCATATATATGAGCCTTAGCTAACAGGTTGGGTACACATGCCCTAAGGCAACTGTCATTCTGTGCCACTTTTTACATCTACCAGTCCCATTTTCATTTAGGTACTCCCCTCAGCTGATTGTGATTCGAGGTAACTGTGTCTTTTGGGTGACTTCTATAAACCCTTCAGAAACAGAACAGCACTTCCCATCCACCGCCCTTCAGGAGATGCTCTAAAGCTTGAGGTCCCACCCCAGAATTCCCCTTGCACAACAGCGGCAGCTCTGACAACACAGAGAAAGAGGGAGACAACTGGAAAATTTCAGGAGCTGTTGCACTGAATCCTGACACTGAATCCTAAGAGAAATTTACCACATCATCCCAGCTGCCTTACATTTAAGGAGCTTTTGCTGGGCTATTACGATTAAAACATTAATTCCTTCAAGCCTGCCCACTCCCACTACAGGAGGTATATGTCTTGATTAAAGCATTAGAACTATACACATGGCTAGATTCTGACCTCAGGCTTGCAATAATGCCACCGACTACTTCTGACTTCACACCATCGTAAGAGCGGAAGCACGTTCTGTAGTTCACTTACACTCTGCCTAATGAACATCCAGGTTTCTTCCTCTGCAAACTCAGCTTTCAGCAATGGACCCCTGGCTATAGGACCCGATGCTAGTCCTTCATCTGAACCCGCTGGCAATTAGTGGTTCATTACTTGCTAGTATTAAAAGCACACATCAACCACACCTTCTACTGACTGCATGAAGGTACTCGTTTTTTCTGGATCAACCTGATGTGTCTCCACAACTACAATTTCAGACAGCAAGGATCTGAGAAGTGGTTTCTGTTCTCTCACTCCAACAAAAAAATCTAGCTAATACAGCTGTGATAACAGTCAAGCGCAGCAGTCATTAATCTGGATAAAGTGATTTTTCACATAAATTGCCTTCTCTCTCCTTAAAGTTTCACGGCCAAAAGGAAAATACATCACTGAAACAAATGGCTGCTAGGAAAAATGAGCAGGCTGAAATACAGAAGAGAGCAAGCAGGGTTAAGGCAAGGGCATTCAGAAAGGAACTGAGCACAGAGCTGCTTAAAGAAAAAGATATCCTGAAAAAAAAACCAAGTGCAATTATTACTCTGCCAGTTTGCATATCCTTTTCATAGTTTCAAAACAAGGCAGCCTACCTCTCTGCTTTCCATATATATCCTGGAAGCAACTTTGTCTCTGAGCTCACACACAAACTAACTTCATTTCATGAAAACGTGCTTAAATTATGCAGGTTATTTTTAAGTCACTCACTTATTTGAGTGTAAAATACCTGTCTGTTCAGAAGTCCCAAAGCATCTGCATTTATCTAGAACTGTAGGTGCAACATTTCTCTCTTAGGGGAATACAAATGCTTATTTACAACCAAGAACAATATTTGAATTCAAATTGTACTTCAAGTTAGAGAATAGATCCAGAACTGCATCTCTTAACTTTATTTCCTTGCAAATGCTTTAAAACTAAGCTCATTCATCTGCCCCCATGGAAAAGATATATTCCTTGGTTCAGGCTGACAAAGCCAGATTTTCAACCCTCAGCATTCACTTGAGCATTTAAAAAACTTTATGCAAGTACATAGGTCCAAACATCTCCAGATACCAAATATTAAGAGCGCGTGCTCCAAGGCTTCCATTGGTTTCTCTGCTGCCCATGGAGCACAGGTTAGATATTCCATAGTCAGCAAAAGCCACAGGTTTGCAGTTGTATTAGCTCAGATATCACTCTAAGGTACCTGCACAGCTTCTGGACCCAAGGGCTTAGCAGGGACAACACAGTCTATGCAGAGGCTGCTGACGGTGAGTCACACCAGAATGAAGAGGAGACACATGGCTGGAGGCCAAGCAAATAAGCTCAGGAGGAGCCATGCTTTGTGGTGGTGCTGTCAGTGCAAGTGGGTGACTGGAGAAGAGGCAGCAGTAGCACAAGAGGTGGGAAATGAGGAGAAGGACACAGGATGAGTCTGGAAAATGGGTTATGCAAGTAGGAGGGAGGGGAGCATATGAGGAAACAAGAATCAGTGGGGGGGGGGGGGGAAAGGGGAGGGGGAGGAGGAGG